CTGCCTCAGTAAAGTCTCGTCTGCTCCCAGACTCGGCCAGGCCTCCATCTGCCCACTGCTCTTCGCTTTGCTGGCGTAGCTTCCCTTCCCAGGTTGTAATCACAGGTGTGTCATGAGTTACTCAGGGTCTAACTCTCACCACACTAGAAGGGACACGAGCCTGCTTGGACTTGTCCCCCCTGTGTTGTTAGCACAGACCGTGTGTTCAGTATCTATTAGTTGAATGTATGTCCAGTCAAAGAAGAAAACAAAGATAGGGGTATTACAGTGAGAAAAGAAAGGTGGTTTTGCCTTAAAGCTGCAGGGAAACATCCCCCACCCGCAACCTGCAGCGCCAGGAAACTAGAACTGTCACGCCCAATCCACTGGTGTTCAGAACGACGTCCGTGGCCATGCTAGAGGAGGGGGTTGATTCTGAAAGGGAGAGCATGCTGCTTTCAAACAAAAGAAAGTAGACAAAGGAGCTGTCCCCTCCTTGGGTCTTGGACTTGCACACAGCCCTCAGTTGTGCAGTTTGCTCGAGGATGTCTTCCTGAGGTTACATCATCGCCAGCTTTCTATCTTTGGGAAATGATGGTGCGAGGCATGTGGCGACAAAAATTTGCTGTGCATTTACCATAACACCTGATGTTTATTTTACCTCCCTCTCCAGGACATTTTATTTTAAAAAGATTTCTGCTAAAACCCATATATGTTTCTTTGTGGCGTTGTAGGTTCATTTTGCTGGCCTGTGATGGGCTCTTCAAGGTCTTCACCCCAGAAGAAGCCGTGAACTTCATCTTGTCCTGCCTTGAGGTGAGAAATCTCACAAGGGGGTGCCGGTTGTTCCAAATGCACCCTAATTTTTAGAGAGGTCGAAGTCCTGAGATCCCATGTCCCCCTGCCGTGGAGGCAGCCCTTGTGTTCTTTTCAACGTGAACTCTGCCCAGGGGACTCACTGGTCATTTTGTCCTGCCAGTCCTGATGGAGGCCAGAGCAGTTCTTACTTCAGGAGAGTGACAGGTGCAGGATCACCTCATTCACTCGTGCCCCTTTCTTGTCCGGCAGGATGAGAAGATCCAGACCCGAGAAGGGAAGCCCGCTGTCGACGCCCGCTACGAAGCAGCCTGCAACAGGCTGGCCAATAAGGCGGTGCAGCGGGGATCAGCCGACAACGTCACCGTGATGGTGGTGCGGATAGGGCACTGAGGGGCGGTGTGTGCGGGAGCACGCATGGTATTGACTCAAAAGGTTCATTTTGTGTGTGTGCGCATTCTGTGTGTTTTGTGTACTCCTGTGGGACTCCCATGGTTGTAAATAAAGGTTTCTTTCTTTTTTTTTTTTTCCTAGTTCTTCTCTTACTGCACTGTGAGCACCTCTTGACTCTTCAGAGGTTAATTGTGTGCTTTTGAATGTGCTCTGGGTCTTTCTTTGTTAAAACTGTTATAGGCAACTTGGACTGGCTCCCAGTGACCTGCAGGCTGCTGCTCATGTAACTCTTGGAGTCCATTGGCATCTTAACGTGTCTTTCACCCTCATGACCACCCTGGTTGGGGAAGTGGTGTTTTGCAGTGAGATCAAGGTGATGACTGGTTAGAGACAAGGCTGGAACCAGCACCGGGGCTTTTGGAACCCTCTAGCTCCTTTCAGTTTTCCGTACAAAAAGTATTGCAAAACAGTACCCGACAAGAGCCTAGGCTTAGCCAGGAAATAGACTGCTACACGAGGTTACTCAGGAGGCTGTGCGCCCTGTCAGACCCTCCAGACCAGAATTCGTTATTCTGATTGTATTGGTGATAGATGCCATCTCATGGACAGACTCTGTGGAGTATTGGGTTTAATAGGTCTCAGATCTGGATCCCCTGGTGCAAAAGGTTGCACCTTACTGGTTTGAGCAGTCAAGCTGACACTCGGCACAGCCTCTGAAATTCTCCTTCCCACCCACATTAGGAATGTGTGAGCAGTTGGCTCCGTGCTGGACTGCAGTTTGATCTTTACTTAACACTTTAAAGGGGACCCTTCTGTGAAAGATGTTAAAAGGATAAAAAGAATGCATGATCAGCCTACTCAGAATAACAGACGTTAAGGCCGGGCGTGGTGGCTCACGCCTGTAATCCTAGCACTCTGGGAGGCTGAGGCAGGAGTATCGTTTGAGCTCAGGGGTTCAAGACCAGCCTGAGCAAGAGCGAGACCCCGTCTCTACTAAAAATAGAAAGAAATTAGCCAGACAACTAAAAATAGAAAAAAATTAGCCGGGCATGGTGGCGTGTGCCTATAGGCCCAGCTACCTGGGAGACTGAGGCAGGAGGATCGCTTGAGCCCAGGAGTTGGAGGTTGCTGTGAGCTAGGCTGATGCCACGGCACTCTAGCCCAGGCAATAGAGTGAGACTCTGTCTCAAAAAAAAAAAAAAAGAGTAACAGACTTTAACATACTTTTCAACCACTTGTTTATATATAAAATGTCATCGTTACTACTATAATTATTTTTTAGTAAAGTAGTTCTTAGATCCTTCTGTGTAAATGTTTGGCTCAGGATGATGTAAGATTCTAAAACTTTGCCTTTTCAGATCTGTTTTGTAATGTTCACTGGCTCCCACCCAACACACACACGGTCTTATCACCCCGTCAGTTAGTGGAATTTGGCGTCCATGCCATAGGGACCTCAGCAGTGAACATTTCATGCTAACCTTAGGTTACTTCTGCGGGTCTGTGGTGTGGAAGTCATAACTAAAAGCTGATGGAAGAGGTGTTGGTGCTGCCCCCTGCCCTAGGGAGTGTCGTGAGCCAGATTTCCAATCTGTTCAAGGACTGGACGTCCCAGTGTGGTATCATGGAAGAAAACCTCAGCACCTCAGAATCAGGAAATATAATTTATTTGGTAAGTATTTTACAGCAAACCAGGCATCCGTCTGTAAGGGCCACTGTCCTCAGTCGGGAAAAGGCTTGGCACTGTGGCTTCCCTGGCGAGGCCCTGTCCCACACCTGTAAGGGGGCCCCCCACCTAGAGGCAGGAGGCCACCTCTCCACCTGGCCTTCCAGAGCTCACTGCTTACTGTCCTTGGTGAACCTGGGCCACGGGAGTAAGATTGCATCTCTTGGCATCTGCCCTTTGTTGTTAGAACTCTGTGTAGTCATGTCATGAGGTTCTTAAGTACTTGAACCACCCCATAAAGTCAGTTATATAAATACATTCCATCTGGTAATATTATATAATAAATACTTCAATAGATTGCTGTATATAACACACGTTGAGAAAATGAAAGATGTGGTTATGTGGCTTTTTCAGGGGTAAAAGATAAATGCTCTAACATATCCGTGCCCCCTGGATACAAAGTGAAATCCAGAGAAGGGTGTGGCCACACCACCCCTTATCAGAGCTCGTGGGGATGCAGCACCCAGGCCAGCCCAGCACTTCCTGGTAGGGTGGGTACAAGTCCTACTGAGAATCGGGCCAGGCCTGCCCAAGGGCACAGAATGGCCAGTCCGTGTGTACTACTGCACCTGGGGGAGGGGAAGCTGGGCTCCTTCAGGTCATTTAGGCCTGGCTGTGGTCACCTCATCCAGAGGCCAGCTAGGTTAAGGTGACTGGCTACTGCCTCTGCTCCCAAGCCTGAGCACCTGTGCCAGACCAGCTTGACTCCCCCAGGCCCTGGAGGTCCTGTGGCTCTGGGTCCCTTGTAGCCTGTTTGTGGGGTGGGGCCAACTCTTTACAGCAGGCTGTAGCAGGCCCTGGAGGTAGTGGCTAAGGAAGGGCCTTGTCCTCTCCACTGCCTACTCCGGGACAGTCCTACACTTCGGAAAAATGTGGGATGCCACATTTAAGCAAGCTGCAGCTGACAGCCCTGTCTCCTCACAGGAACTGCCCTCCCTCCCCTGTGCCCATCACTGCCACAGGGAGCATGGCAGGCCTGGGACCAGCCTTCCCAAGGCCACTTTTTCCTGGCATCGTGTCTAACTCAGAGCCACACTGCTACCCGAGTGGGCGAGATGCTTTGAAGGAGCATCCCAGAGCTGGCTGGACCCGGCCAGGCCAGGCCACTCATGCAGCAGGAGCTGTCAGCTGTTCAGGTGATGGGTCAGCAGGACTGGCTGTCTCTAATCCACAAAGATTCTAGATCTTTCATCTGGTAGGTGAGTTCCTAGCCGTGGGAGCCTCAGAGGGGGTGGGAAAAGGGATCCTGTTGGTCTCTGGGGAGGGCAAACGGGGCCTTGGCTGTGGAGGGATCTACAGAGGGAAAAGCAATGCTGCTATTTGGAAAGGAACTTGCGTGCTAATCTCGCATACCTTAGAGGTGGAAACAGCTTGTAGAAGTGGGGCCCAGACTCTGTCCCACCCATAATCCGCTGTCCAGTGTCCCTCTGGTCCCTGGGGCTGCTGTGCCAAGGCCCACAGCAGGAATCTTGGGTTGTGTGGTCACTGCAGGCCACGCAGTGCCCTGAGCTCCACCAGCAGCGGAGGCACAGGTAGGGCAGGAGCAGGCAGAACCAGGGAGCCCAGATGGAGACACAGGCAAGTGGTGAGCAAGGCTGTTGCCCCAGCTGGCCTGGGTTTCCTCTGAGCAGTGGGGACACAGCTCACTTCCCATTGGCGGCCCTCAGCCCTGCACTGCTGATCCTCCAGGCAGGGGCCCGACCCACCGGTTCTCCCTGCCTGCCATCCATGAGAACCCAAGGAGAGGTGGAAAAGGTGGGGCAGGGCCGTGGGAAAGAAGCTGAGGCCGCCTGGGCAAGCTGCCCAACAGCCCAGGTCTGCAGCTGGGGACAAGCAAGTGCTCCCAGGCATGCTGGCCATTTCCAGGATAACAGCCTGACAGGGCATTTCCCCTTTTAAAAGATGGTGGCCTGAAATCACCCCCGGTTCTGGGAGTGCCAGCTTGCACATCACCTCCCCAGGCCTGCCTGTAGTGGCTGTTTCTGGGCTGAACTGCAGTGGCCAGTCTGGGCAGAGTTCCAGGTGGGCTTCCTCCTGCATGTGGCCACTGCCACTCTGACACTGTCTAGACCTTGTTCAGACCCTGCTCCATTTGCTTGGCGAGAGAAAGGGCCTGCGGTGGCCACTCACACGCCCAGGAGGACAGCACTGAAGTGGGAGCCGCTGCGCACCGTGAGAGAGGAGCCGCTGGCGTTGTCCAAGAAGACGGAGGTGTACTGCCCCATCTGCAGGGAAGGTGCCTATCAGGCATCGGGCTGCTTCCTGCACCAGCAGGGCCCTGAGAGCCCGCAGAGGTGCCCAAGGGGCCAGCTGGCCACACTCTCTCCTGCCCCGCACAGGAGAAGGGCCTAGGCCCAGAGAAGGATATGGCCTGCCCAAGGTTGCAGAGCAAGGGCTTGGACTCAACCCAGCACCTCTCCCAGTGCTGCTCCCTGGCTCCCTGCAGTCTGTGTGTGGGGGCAAGCCCCTGCTCGGCCAGAGTGGGCTTCAAGAGTCCAACAGGTTTCTCTGCTGCAGGGCTTCTCTGAGCCTATAAGGGCTCCAAGATAGGTGGGTGGCCCTGGCCCCGCAGTCACCTGGCAGGGCCATCAGTGAGACCAGTACTCTGGCCTGGCTGCTCAAATGTGATCCACGCACCAGCAGCATCACACCCCCTGGGGACTCCCAGGAACGCAGAATCTGGGGATCCACCCAGACCTGCATCAGGATCTGCATCTTAACAAGATCAGGTGGAGCACGGACTGTTTGAGTTCCCCACGCACGCTGCGCAGTGCCCACGCCAGACCGCAGTGCCTTCCAGCAACCACAGAGCTGACTCGAGCCGGACAGCCTGGCCTCCAGCCCTGGCTCTGCCGTGTGGGCTTGGGCAAATCGGAGAGTAACACTCCCTTCCCCAGAGCACGGTGAGAATGAAACAGGAGCAGTTACTCCACACACCTGCACTTGAATTTTTTCTTTTTAAAGTGAATCCCACCTTCGTATCAATTTCTCTAACCCCTTGCCCAAATCCCCACAGTGCCAGCAAGAGATGGTCACTTGAGGTTTTATGCAGGAGGTAACTACACCTCTGGCTTCCCACAGTTGAAGTGGGCCTGGGCCATGACATCAACCTGGGGCAGACCTCAGTCCCTCCGTTCCTTCTTGCCGCGGGTCCCCACACAGGCCTGTTGTGGCCAGGAGCACCCAGCCTCAGTATGAGATGCTCAGGAGGTCTGACAACCGGAGGCTGCAGAGCGGAGTGGCTGCTCCGGAGGACGGCATCTTAAAGGGAAGGGCTGGGGTCTGGAGGAAGGAGGCTTGAAGCCTGGCTCTGCCCGCACCAGGGTGCATGCTTCGGCCTGTCCCAGAACCTTTCCTGGGCCTAGATCTGAGGGTGCTGCGCCCAGTGATCCTGAGCACCTGGTCAACACTCTTCCTCCCCCAGCCACCCTGTGCCTGTGCCCAGGCGGTGCCCCTCCCTGCCCGAGCCCGCCCCACACACCTGCAGGTACAGGATGCCATTCACTGAGATGGTGAAGAGATCGCTGCTGCTTTCCAGGCCCATGACAGCCTCCAGGGAGCTGTTGCCAAGACAGAAAGAGGGTCAGCCTGCCCCCCAAGATCCCAGCTTCACCACAGCACACTCACAGTCATCCCAGCCGCCAACACCGTGCCTAGCAAAGTGCCTGGTCTTGCCAGGGCCTTCCCGTAGAGGCAGTGACTGAACTGGGTCCCCAAGAGGAAGGAAGACAGGGACGACGGCATGCTTCGACTAGCAGGAGAAGCAAGGCCAGAGCCAAGCAAGGGGCAGCAAAGTCCTGGCTCTGATAAGAAATGGGACATTGGCTGTTGCAGCTGGAGGCAAGGGTGTGGCAGCAGGTGACGCTAAAAAGCCTATTCAGACCAATGCTGCCAGGTTTTCAAAGCCAGACTAAGAAGTTTTGGACTTTGTCCGTTCATTGGTGCCCTCCAGCTATTTGCAGAGCACCTGCTCTGTGCCAGGGAGACAGGGAGCTGACAGTCACTGCTGTCATGGACCGGATGGTGCAGTGTGGACAGGGACACCAGCCATGATCAGCGGAGGTGGTCATGGGGAAGGAAGTTCCCAGGTGAGGGGTGGGGGAGTGACAGAGGACGGGGTCTCCAGCCCTCGGTCAGGAAAAGCCTCTCAGGAGGTGCCAGTGGTGCCCAGGCCCCCGGATGAGAGTCCCACGTGGCCAGAGGAGAGAGGGCAGTGGCAGGAAGCTGGGAAGAGCCAGGCCTTCTAGGTCCTGGGAGGGAGCTGGGGAGCCTGGGCTGGGAGTGGCACTGGACTGACTTTTGTTTGTATTTTTTTTAGAGACGGGGTCGGGGTCTTGCCGTCGCCCATGCCAGAGTGCAGTGGTGTGATCACAGCTCATGCAACCTTGCACTTCCGGGCTGCTGAGTAGCTGGGACTACAGCCGCGCACCACCACCCGCCTGACTTCCCTATTTTTTGTAGAGACGGGTCTCACTGCCTCGCCCAGGCTGTGCACAGACGTTTTTAACAGCCCCTGCTGTGCAGTAGGGACAGTGAGGGCAGGAGCAGACAGGGGGACCTGGAAGCACGGGGGAGCACGGAACCGAGGGGGGGCGAAGGAGCCGAGTGGGCGGGGCGTGGGCCACTCACGCGTTGTGCTGGCACCGGGACTGGATGCAGATGAGCAGGCGCAGGCGGTCCCGGGGGCGCAGCGGCCCCCGCCTCGGCTGCTCCCCGAGCGCTGCGGGCAGGGCGGGGCGTGGTCACGCGCGGGCGGGGCGGGAGAGGGCGGGCGGACCCCCCGGCCCCGGGCCTCACCCACGTGCAGCGTGGCGGCGAGCGCGTAGAAGCCGGACACGGGCGCCGTGTACTGGCCGCTGGTCAGGTTCAGGCCCGGGCCGCGGCAGAAGGCGCCGTCGCCGTCGGGCTGCGGGGCACACGGACGGTCACCGCGGGTGCCCGCCGTCCCGCCCGCCCCGGCCCGTGCCCCGCACTCACCAGGTAGTAGACGCCCAGCTCCTGCAGCGCGCGCCGCTCCACCAACGCGTCCCGGCGCAGGCGGCAGTGGAAGGCGGCCTCCACGCGTGGCGCCCGCGGGCCTGGGGACAGCAGCGCCAGCACGCCACCCGCCTCCTCGTCGTCGTCCTCCCCCGTGGCGGCAGGGCCGTCGGGGCCGCCGGTGCAGGGCTCAGGCTCCGCGCGCTCTCGCTGCCACACCGCCCCTGGCACAGAGCAAGCCTGTGGCTGCGCGCCGGGGACCACCTCGCCCGCGAGGTTCTTCCCTAAAAGGGGCAGAAGCTGCCTGGCCAGAGTAGGGGTTGAGGGCGATGCCCCCTGGGCCTGCAGGGCCTCAGTACACTTTGCTTCCTGATCCTTCAGCTGATCCTGTTTCCCTTCACACTTTTGCTACCGGGAAGCTCCGGACAGATGCACACCCAGCACCCAGTGTCTTTGTCCTCCAGCCTCACCTCTATCCTACCCACATTTTTTTGGAAGAAGGTGGGTGTCAGTAAACAACTATTGTAGCTATGCTGGAAATATTATTAATATCACAAGGAGGTTCTTCAACACTGAAGGTAGTATGTTTAAATAAACAGTACACGGAATTCAAAGGGGAAAACAGCTCTCAGTAGTTCTTCATAATAAAATCAATTCTAGTTAATATGAGCCACCACTCAGCCACTGGCAGCAGTGCAGAGACATCCCCTGGCACGATAGCTTGGCCCAGCTCTGCACCCTCCCTCTGCAGCCTCCAGCTCAGGCTGCCCCAGCCTGGGCCAGGTGGTGATTGTGGAGGCCAAGCAGGGACCACCCTGTGCTGTCCTGGTACACTGTCCTCCCTGCCCTCCCGTGGGGCCTGTGCCAGCAGCCAGTCTGGTCGCCCGGCTTTCGCTGGGCTCACTTGACTCCCAGGTGGGGCATGGGGCTAGTCCACCTTCCTCTCCTCACCGTGATCCTCCTCCTCCTGCCTCCACCCCTGACCCTTGGCAGACACGGCCCAGGCCAGGGCAGGGGCTGGACAAGGCCAGCTCCACCATCCTTGAGCCCAGCACAGAGAGATGCCTCCTCGTGTCCACCCCGTCTCGGCTACTGGGGACACCCTCCCTCGCCCTGCTGTGCCCGTCGCTGCGCACCCCTACCTTTCAGCAGCAGCTGGAACTCCTTCAGCAGAGCCTCCAGTGGGATGACAGGGCCCGGGGGCCCCTGAGGGCCGGGAGGCCCTGGGGGCCCTGGCAGGCCAAACTGGAAGGGAATGTGGGCAGTGAGGACACCCAGGAGGCAGGCAGGGAACCGTGGGCATCCCCCCTGCAAGCTGTCAGTCACTCAGCGGCAGGCAGGCGAGCGCCCCGGCTGGCCTCCGGAGGACCCGACCTCCAGACAGAGGTCCGCCTTGGGGCTTCAAACTCAGTGAAAGCTTTGGCCGAGTGGGTACCTGAGCTCGAGGACTGGGTCGTGCTGGAGGTGTGGGGCAGGCGGGATGGTGGGCTCCCCAGTCTGATCCCCAATGTGGGACCTCTTTGGGGCTCACAGCAGGAGTCAGCCATCAGGACCAAGGCCAGGCCCAAGGCTGAGCGAGAGCGGGAGCCCCGCAGCTGCCAGGGCCCCAGTGCCCACGCGCCCTGGGAACCAGACTGGTTCGTCACTGCGGTCACCTGCAGGCCCTCTGGCGTGTGCCACAGCTGCCGGGCAAGGCCCTGTCACTGCTGGACGCAGAGGGAGGAGGAGAGAGGGAGCCGTCCGGGCTGCTTGGGATTCTAGGGGTGCGGGGTTAACGGTGGGACCAGGCCCCTAACCTGGGGCTCCTGGGCCCTGGCTTGGTGCTTTCTCTGTGTTCCCTGCACCCGGGCTGAGGCGCAAGGGGCTCTGCTGCTGCGAACGGTCGGCACGCGTGAGTGGGTGCGGGCGAGGGCCAGGACACGGAGACCCCCACTCACATGGGCACGTGTGGCGGCATCCCTGCTCACCTTCAGCTTCTTGGCCTTGGCCCTGCTCCTTCTCTTGCCATTGACACCCTTGTCACTCTGCCTGACGAAAAGCATCCAGGCGTCCCGTGGGTCGACACTGTGCGCCTGCTCAGAGATGGGCTCCTGCAACGCAGCCAGCCCGCGGGTCAGCTCGTCTCGCCTGGCACCTGCCAAGCGGGTAGGACGCTTTGCAGGAGGTGATCGTGTGCAGGACTGCTTCCGCACCCGGGGGCCCAGCTCTTGTCACCAGTGGTGCCCTCAAAGGCAGCACAGCCCCCACCCCATCTCCATGGCCCACGAAGGAGGACTCCTAGGGAACAGGCCACACCATGGCCTGGACTTTGCACTCGTTGGGAAGTGGGCCCACGATGCAGGTGCGGGAAGATGGGGTGCAGAGCTCTGCAGCAGGTGTGGGCCCTGGCACCGCCCAGTCCAGCTTCCTTCCTCAAGGTGAGCTGAATGATCACGCCGCCGTCCGGAGTCACCCAGGAAGACCCTGCCACTGGAGCACCCATAGGTGCTCAGGAAGGTAACTGTGATTATGAGGGACCCCAACTACCAGCCAACCCTCCTGTCTATTCCCCACGGTCAGAAGTTCTAAGGAGGCAACTTCAGCCCTCGGGGCTGCCTCAGGTTGCAGTCCAGGCTGGGCAGGGCCACCAGGCGAGACGTCAGGACTCAAGGCCTCTGTGGCACTTCTGAGGCACTGACCCAAGCAAGGATGGTCCTGTGCATGCTGCGTTCTGACGGGGCCTGACACTGGGCAAAGTTCTGGGAGGAAACTTCCAGGGAGAGGCCTTTGGCCCTTTGCGCAGTGGGCCTCAGGCGGTCTGGGCTCCAGGTAAGGCTGTCAGCCGGGATGGAAATTGACCCAATAGGGCTTAGAGGAGGTCATGGGCGCCAACTCCAGGGGCTGACAGTAGGACCTGGGATTTAGAGCTGGCCACACCCTTTGATCAGAGGCTGACCTGGCTGCCAAGTCACAGACCTGGCTGTGGGGACCCAGGGCCAGCTTTGGGGAGCTGACCGGCCAATGCACAGGCCAGGGTGTTGCAGTGGGAAGACGGAGGCCTCAGTGCAGGAAGAACCTTGGCTAGACAGAGAAAGGCTCCGGAGCACCGGGGTGCCCCTTGCTCAGCGCCTCCCCACACCTCGCAGGGCTAGTGTGGCCTCCTGGCTGCTGGCCAAGACCAGGGATTTCACTTCACAGCCTCACGGGGCCCTCAGTGGAAACATGCCGCACGAGGGCTCTGCGCACAGGCGAGGATGGGCGCGCCAGCTGACCCTCCCGGCTGGAGCCGTGGCCTGTGGATGGACTCAGACCCCAGTCTGGTTTAGGGACGAGCTGAAACGGGTGGAGCCAGGTCGATCTGGAGTCCCAGGGGATAGGTCTACTGCAGGGTGCGTGGGTGCTGGGCAGCTGCCCTGGCCAACCTAGTTCTCCAGCCACGAGGGCTCCTCGGAAAGGAGCCTTGGAGCCAGGGGGATTCTGGTGACCCCAGTGCCCTCAAAGAAGGTCCAAGGCCAGCCCCGCCAGAGCCTCTGAGCCCCCTCTCTCTGCCTCCTGGTGACTGTGCACTGACATCTGGCTGCTTTGCCCACCTGGGTGGTTTGGCTGAATACCTGGCAGGGCGGGGATGAGGGAGGTTTGCCTTCAGTCCATGGGAAGCAGCTGGGGGCGGGGGAGGGGAGGATGGGATAGAGGCCCCATGGGGACCCCCCGGCTGGCTGCCATCTCATCCTTCTTTAGTGGATGCATTCTGGGCTGCCCCTACCTTCAGAATAAATGAAACCCAAATGACCGGCCAGGGGCAGCCGTCAGCTCCCTGACCAAAGGGCCTGGCCACATTGAGGGCCTCTTTGAAGTGCCACCAAATTCTCACCCTCCCAGGCCAGCGGCCACACACTCCCCACCCTGATCCCCCGTGGAGCAGTGGGAAGGAACAGGCCCAGCTAAAGATCCCCTGACAAAAGCCAGGTCATTCCCGTCCTGATCACCCGCTTCCCCCAGACCCACAGGGACCGTACCAAAAAGGCTCGTGGGGGGGCAGTAATTTGCTTATACTTTTACAGATACGTTCTTCCCAATTTCATGAAATCAACTTATTTATACTTTACTTATTTCCCAACTTTTTTTCCTGGCCTAGTAGAATTTTGCTTTAAGCCAAAGAACTACGCAAAAGCCAAGGTCAGGGCTACACTTTGCCGCGACAGCTGTGCAGAGGGCGACCAATGCAGGGAGCAGGTCAGCCCCGTCCCTGCCCGGGCCGCGCCTGCACCGCCCGAAAGCGGGCGGGACCCGGACCCCCAGGCAGGGGAGGCGCGGCCGGGGTCCCGGAGCGGCGGGGGTCTCACCTGCGGGGGGGCGGCCGGCCCCGCGCGGTTCTCCCCGGGGTCCGCGGGCAGCTCGTTCCCGGGCGGCGGCTCCTCTTGGGCGCGGCTCCCCGGGCGGGCGGCGGGCTCGGAGGAGCCGAGGCTCGCGGCGGCGGCCAGCAGGCCCGCGTAGACGAGCAGCAGGCGGGCTCCGGCGGGGCGGCGAGCCGAGGCCATGCGGGCGGCGGGTCCCTCGCGGCTCCGGGCGCGGTGTCTCCCGAGTCCCCGGGTCCGCGCCTTATAACGCGCTTGAATCCCCCGCCGCGCCGGGTCGCCGCCGCGCCCCCTCCCGGCTCCCGCGCGCGCTGCAGCCGGGGGTGCGGGACAGAGCAGCGCGGGGGCGGGGGACGGGGAAGGGCGAGCAGGGGGCGCGCGCGGAGGGAGGGCGCAGAGAGCGCTCGCTCCGCGGCCGGCGCGCCCCTGCAGCTGAGCCTTCTCCACTCCAGTCCCGGGTCCTGAGGTCCCTCGCTGGGCGCTGTCCAGCGTTTCTGCTTCTCGGGGAGCGGAGCGCCCCTGTTCTCGGCCCTGGACTCTCGGCCCTCTCGACTGCTTTCTTTAAAAAATTGTAATTATTGTGGGTACATAATAGTTGTATGTATTTACGGGGTACATGTGATGTTCGATACAGGCACACGACGTGTAGCAGTCAAATCAGGGTGACTGCGGTATCCATCACCTCAAGCATTCACCACTTCTTGGTGTAACCAACATTCCGGTTCCACTCTTTTAGCTACTCCACTGCTTTTTCTCCGCGGGGAGCCAGGGCGCCCACCTCCTCCCGGCCCTGGGCATCCTTTTTCCTCCTTCTGTCAGTGATGTCCTCTGCGGGGACCCCCAGGTGTCCCTCAAGGTCTGGCCCCTGAGACACCGGCAGAGCAGGGAGACTTCAGGGCCCCTCCTCGGAGCCCCTTTCCCAGGCGGGAACCCCTCCCTTCCGGGCTGCCTTCTCCGCCTGGCAGGCGGCGCTGTTCCTTCACCCTAGGTGCACCTGCAGGACCCAGGGGGCGCAGGGAGCAGAGCGAATCTACAACCCGGGGCAGTGGCCCAGCATTGTTGGGGGCCTACCGAGGCCCAGGCTGGGAGGACTGACCCCTCTCCTGCCCGTGGTGTGGGGCACCGAGGGGACCCCACCTGGAGCGGTGGATCAGGCCCTGCGGGCCCTAGGAGAAGGCGAAGCTCCTGGGGCCCCTCCCCGGGGAGACCCAGCCTCCGCACCCCTGGGCTGCTTTGTAGGTGGCGCACTCGTGTGGCTGTCGGCCCAAGCGGTGGAAGATAAACCCGTGACGTTGTCACAGCTGGCTCTCTTGTCCCAGCCCCTGAGGCACCTGCACTGGCATTTGTTAAAGGGCTGGCGAAGGCCCAGCTGGAAATGCGCCTTCCAGGGTCTTCCACTCCCACTGACGATGCTTCTCACCTCTCTGAGAAGAGCAGCCTGCAGGAAGGAGGCCTCACCGGTCCTATGTGACAGGGGGTGGCACCAAGAACCGAAGGGCAGTACCAGAACCAGGCAGGTGGTGCCCTTGCCTGGCCAAGGTTGATCTCAGACTCAAGCTCGCCTGTGTCACCTACCTTTTCTGGCCATTCATGCAGTCGTCCGTCTGGCTGGCCTGGCCGGCCCTCACACGGGGACACACAGCCCCTGGACAGAGGCAGGCGCGGGGCTGGAGGCAGGGCACTGGGCACGGCTGTGTCTTCACAGCCACGTGTTTGCCCGTCAGGGCTCTTCCTATTGCAGTAGGTGTGGAATAGGAGCTACGTGATGAGTTCAAAGCTTATCGAAGAGAACACAGCCCTGCCTTTTCCCTACAGGGAATACGTGCCCCGCAGGTGCAGGACTCCCTGCTGGGGCCTGCCTGCAGCTCTGGCTCAAGGTGGATGGTGTTCCAGGGACGTGGGTGATGAGGTGCCCTGATTTGGGGGACATGATCCTTAAGATGTTCTTGTGACATCATTCCACTTTGCAGTGGGGGCCCCAGCCCGTGAGGCCAGTGCTGGGCACAGGAGCTGTTGCCATGTGAAAAAGTTATTTTCCCAAACAATGAACTGTCTTGGTGATGTCATAGGCCCTGCCAGAGGGCCCAAATCAAATTGGTTCTGGTGCTGGCGCAGCCTCCTGTAACACTATCCTGGGTGAGGACATGGCCTGGCCAGGGGGCCGGACAGCTCCCAGGTCTGTGACCTTCAGGTGGGGCCCCTGTGTGCTTCTGGGGGCACCTTTCAAAACAGGTTCCACTCAGAGGAGGGCAGAGCCCAGCAAAGAATCATATAGATCAAGGGGCGCCCCCTCTCCCTGCGGTGCAGAAGTAGACTGGCCTTCGGGGCAAGGGGTGAATCCCAGGGTGGACGTAAGAATGAGTGGCCACAGCCCACGGGGTGCCTCCCCCATGCGCCTTCGCGCCTGGCTGAAATCTAATCCTCATTCTTGGGGCCTCCTGTCACGGCCTCTGCCGCTTCCCAGCAGCCTGATGCAGTCAAGCTGTTCCTGCTCTTCTGTCTTCCTCCAGAGGAAGGGCCTTTGCTGATGAAGTCATGGGAATAAAACCTCTTTTCACCCCGAAAACAGTGGGAGCCTGAAGTCAGCTTGCTGTGTGGCCTCCAGACGGACATGCAGACGGCCTTTGCTGTTTACCAGAGCCTTCCAAGCGCACGACGTCATCTCATTCTCAAATCATGTGATTATCCCCATTGTACAGATGAGGAAACTGAGGCCCAGATCTTGGGATTCGCTCAAGGTCACTGTGGAGCCAACAAACAAAACCACATCCAGGTCTGGCCCCCACAGCCTGAGGTCAGTAGCTCTGAGGAGTCCACAGATTCAGTTCAACTCAGAGGACGTCACGCAGTTCCTGCGGCAGGCCCGGCACAGGGCCACGTGCTGGCAGTGAGCTGTGTGCACCCTGGGCAGGGTGGGAGCAGTCTCAGGTCTAATGGGGGAGAGCTCTTTCTCACTGCTATCCAGAGGGTCTCTTGGGGGATATTCTGCTAATTGTCTCCACGTTTCCAATAGGTTAATTAAAAAGAAATCATCTTTCGCTCACCTCTCAGTTTAAAGCAAGAAGGTGGATACTGGTGATATTGTTTGCTGTTTTGCTGAGCATCACGTTCTTAAATGCGACTGTGATCAAAATAACCCTAGCCCATGACCCTGCAAACCCTGGGCAGTCTGTTAGCTCTGAGAAAGTCACGGTGGCTCCTAGAGGTGTCCGTTCCAAACAGGAATTACTTCCCCCATGAAGACTCTTGTCACAGTCTACGTTATTCTTCAATTAAGCAGTTTCATGCCTGGCTGCCCCGCTGCGAACCTGGTCTCGGGGAAGCGGGGGAAGTCGGCGGCACACACAGCGGCAGAAGCCACCATGCTGGAGGCTGAGCGGCCGGCCCTGTCCTGGGCGGTGGGGATCGAAGATGAAAGACGCAGCCCTGGAGCAGGCAGCCGTCCCTCGGACGCGGCTGTGCCCTCCCTGCCGTACGTCGCTGGCAGATTTCAGTGCGCATCCTCTCAACTCGGTCAACTGGCTGACCACCAACCGCAGTGGTGGTCTAACTCAACTACAGGGAACTGCCAGGCGACCCGGTCCCTTTAGTTGGAGCTACGCGAGGGTGGCAGCAGCCTGATTCCAGCAGTCGCTTCCCCTGTCTGGAACAGGGAAGATGCACGATAATAACGAAGTGTCCTGTCTGGAAGATGCTGGAAAACTCAAGCCCGGCGGAAGTAGCTGAAGCATCCCTTGGCCCCCGGCTCACCTGGGAACCAAAGGGAGCCGGGCCTGGCTTCTGAGGGCACCGAGGGCTCCCTGCAGGCTGGGGGCTGCTGCGGGCCTTGGCGTCCCCAGCATGCTCCGTGGGAGGGGTAACACGAACCCGCTGAGCGCACATGAGCACGCTGGGCTGGGAGGTGGGTTTCATCCCTACAGCCCGTGGGCCTGAGAGTGTGGGGCATTTGCACATGTTCCAAGGCTAGCTGTTCCCTCTCTAGAAGCCCATGTTAGCCCCAAACGTGCTGATGGGTGCTTGCTTTCCTGGGGACTTCGATGATGGGAGAGGACACCTTGGCTGCCCCCAGACATTCCTTGGTGGACGAGCACATTACTGTCCCTTTCCCCTGGGAAGCCCTGAGAGTTTGATTAGTGTGCCAGAGCCTTCCGCCGGTGTCCTGTGCTTGGCTGCCTTCCGTGCCTGCCATCCGCCCTGCAGAGGCCTGTTGCTGTCTCCTGCACTCTGGATTCTGGTGGGCTTGGTGGGCAGGGGCGCTAGCGGGAGGCCAGGGGCAGGAAGGAGAGTGGCGGGGGGTCCCATTCTGGCCCTTCCTCCTGGCGGGGTCACAGGTGGCAGAGGCTGCGTCCCGTACCCCAGGCTCCCGTTCTTGCCAGCCCTTTCTGCCAGGCTCTGGAGCCCGGAGCCTGCCTCTGGCCCTTGCTGTCCCCGGAGACAGAGGGGTGCCGCCGGGTCCCAACTCCTGCTGCTGCTGGGGAGCCTCTCCAGCCCTGGCCGGGCCCCCTGCAGCTGCCCACGCTTGGAGATGGCCCTTTATTAAACTCTCCTTAATTGCTCAGTCACCCACTTGCCGGCTTCCTCCTGGTCCCCCGAATCAGGCAGTCAGCAGGTCAGCCCAGGTGTGGCTTGGTGCCCCAGAGCTGTGCAGCGGCCATGGAGTGGCACGTGCCCTGCCCCCGCCCCCGCCCCAGCCCCAACCGCCACCAGGGTCTGCCCCACCCCCACCAGGCCTGCGGGAGCGCCGGCAGCCTTACTCTAGCAGACCACCCTTTCCACTACCCATTTGTGATCAAAATGAGCCTATTTGGACACTCTCTTTGTTTTTATTTTATTTATTTTAAATTTTTTTTGCAAAAATGGTTTAAATCCAGTCTTCATTTTTTTTTTTCCTGTTACATAAATTAGCCCATTTATTACAGGTTAGTCATGTCTGCAAAGGTGAGCTTCTACTGGTCTTTCAATTCCTTCAGTCTTCTGATGGCGGACTTTACTGTGACAGCAGAACTGGTGTTGTAGGTCCAAGCACCACCAGATACTGTTTTCGCGCAGGAACCACAGTGCCGGATCCCCACAGCTCGTCTCTTCATCTTGGTTTTGCCACAGAAGGAGCAAGTGTACTCGGCGTGCTGGCTGATCTCAATTTTCTTCACCATTTTCCGGAGGGAGGCACCATAGCGAGTCCCGTATTTACCGACCATTCGACTTTCTTGGTGCGTTTAGCCATGCCGCCGCGAACCAGGGCCGAGCCCAGAAAGGTCAGTCTTCATTTTTAAACAGCCCTTTGGCCGGCCTCCTTCCATAACTGTCTAGAAAACATTTCGGGAGATTTCCGTGTGGAAACAGTCAAAGTTCCCAGAAACCCTCACCTTGTTTCCCCCAAGCCACAGCTGACGCCGTTTGCCCCAGGCCCGGGCTCTGGTTCCTTCGGAGCACACCCGGGCCCCTCTCTGGGTCCTGGGAGTCGACCCAACTGTCCCACAAGAGAGGGGCCTGAGAAGGCGGGTCTGGGAGCAAAGCAGGTCAGGGCTACGGAAGCGGGAGGGACGGGGCCTCCTGTCCTCAGCGCCCGGGGATGCCTGAGGCCCCTCTGGCCCCCACTGGCCGGGCCTGGAGAGAAACCTGGATCCGGAGGGAGACGGGAGCTGCCCATGGCCTCCAAGGGTCGGTGCCAGGGCTGGCGCTGGGCTGGACCCGACTCCTGACTGGCGGCCCTGTGACAGCGGGGACATGGCGCTCAGCACCCACAGAGCGTCCTTGTTTACAAAGGTGGTGCCTCGTCACGTGAGAGAGGAAGCGCGTGGAGGCTGAGCCGGCCCCGTGCGGGACCCCGTCAGACCTGGGGGCTCTGCGGATGCCTGAGCCACCCTGAGTCATGCCACCTGCTCGTAGGGGAGCCGTCAGATGCTACCCCCTGCCTCTCTCAGGAGGCTGCTGGGAGCAAGCGACCAACAGGCCCGAGAGCCACCCGGGGATATCCCCGCCATGCCTTGGGCGGGCCTCGCCCCGAGGGGAATTTCGTCTCATGTAGAGCCTTTGTTTGACGGAAGTCATCCCAAGACACAGAGGAAGGAGAGCGCCCTGCCCCCCTGCTTCCTGCCACCTCCCTGGGGGCTGCCCTTCGGGTGGGGGGTGGCACAGAAGAGCTGGGCGGGGCCTCCTTTGTCCCCAGAAGTTCAGTGCCAACAGGCAGAGGCTGTCGTGGGGAGAGCCCGGAGCCCACCCAGCCAGCCCCGTGCGCAGCGGACACCCCGCCTGGAGCCCCAGAGCAGAGGCTGCCCCTGAGGTGGCACTGAGGTGGCCTGGTGCTGACCCTGTCCCAGGGCCCTTCCCTGTCCACAGCTCCCTGGGCCACTCTGGGTTCAACCCTCCTGTGTGCGGCTGCTCCGGGACACCGGCCTGGCCCAGAGGCAGGAACAGCTGAGGCTGGGAGAGCTCGAGCCGCTGTCCCGCTGTCCGGGGCCCTCGGCGCCTTTCTCTGAGGTCCTGGCAGCCCGAGGGCGGCAGAGCTTCTTGTCCCCACTATGCAGGTGTCCCGTGACCCGACCCTGTGGCTGCTGAGCTCAGAGCTTGGTGTGGCAGCTGCAGAGCCCAAGGCCGTGTGCACCGGGCTGTGCCATCCGACGACCCCGGTGGCCCGAGCCGGCCTGAGCCCTGGAGGGGACGGAAGCTCCTTGTCAACGAACAGGCAGAATAAACGTGGGCCGCTCCACGGGGGTGACGGGGAGCTGCCACGGGGACCGGTCCCCCGGGAGCCCCCCTGGATTAGTGCTCCTGGGCGGGGCTGGAGGGCTGGGTCCACTTGGAGACGTCCAGGAAGACGGCGGAAGCCCCGTGGTAGAGCCAGAGGCGAGGCAGCGCGCCGTGGCGCGTCCAGGCGTCCCGCACGGTGTCGTAGGCCTCCATCTCCACGTGGTAGTCGCCCTCCATGCCCTGCCAGCGGCCACCTGTCACGTACAGCGCGTCACCCAGAGGCACCAGTGCGCCGTTCTCGTGCAGGCTGTGCAGGGACTGCACCTGTGGACGGCCAGCCGGTCAGGGTCAGGGTGGCCAGCAGGCAGTGGTGAGGGGTGCCCTTGGCAGGGCGGGGGACAGGCGGAGAGGACGGCCGGCCGCCCGGCCCTGTCCCATCCGAGGCACCAGCGCACTGACTGAGGCCTTCATCCCTGGCCCTGCGGCTTCCTCAGACGCTCCCTCTCCAGCCCCGTCACAGGGATGGTGTTGTCAGCCCCGGAGTGACAGGGGACCCGAGGCCTGACCTGGAGCTGCCTCCCAGCTTCCCGCAGCTCTGGGAGGACACACGTGTGACTCAGCCCCGACAGACACCCAGGGGGCCAAGCCCACCCTTGGCCAGGCCCGTGGCCTCAGAAGGGCCCTGGAGAGGGGTTGGGGGTCAGGGCCGGCAGGTTTCCAGGGGCTGGAGGGAGACGTGGGGCCTTCGGGAAAAGCCTGGGCGGGTGGGGGCCTGTGTGGCCTCCAGAAGAAGACAGTAATGCGGCCGCCCCGGCCCAGGCCCAGAGAGGGCAAAGGGGGTCCCAGCAGTGCGGGGCCCAGCCCAGAACTGTGGCTCGGGGCTGGGAGGGCCTAGGAGGAGCTGGCCTGGCAGGGCCCACCCTGCACCTGTGTCACCGCGGTAATGGGGTCTTCGGCTCCCTGAGTGCCGACGCCAGGGGACAGCTCTGCGCAGCAGCACCCTGCTGCCGCCCGGTCGGCCAGCACAGCCTGCGAGGGGGCTGCAGGAAGGATGCCACCTTCTCCGCTCCAGGGACTGGGACCTCGAGGCAGGCGGCAGGCCCAGGGCACCTGGCTGGGCGCTGAGTCCTGTCTCCCTCCCGTGAAGGGCGCAGGGGCTGGGGCAACGGGGAGCACAGACGCTGGCTGCCCGGCTTTGTCCGCTCAGGACCCCCGTGTGCCCGCCCTGGGCCGGGAGACGCCTCCTCCTCCTTTTTCGCTGAAGCACCTGCTGCCTGAGCCCGGTTTTGCTGCCTGAGAAGGACGGCAGATCGGCGAGCAGGGGACAGAGCACGGGTGGTGACCAGCAGCCCGTGGGCCTCCTTCTCCCACCATCGTCATCTCCGCCACCCTTAGGGGGCTCGGGCCAGGGCACCGCCGTCACCCGTGTTCGGGGGAGAAAGCCAGGGTTGGCCTTCCCTGCGGGCCCTGCAGACACCGACCCGCCGCTGTTCCCAGGCCTGCTCTCTGTCATGCGGGGACCCGGGGGCGCTGGGCGGCGGGGCCCACCTTCTGCCACAGGTTGGCCCCGGGGTCGTACACGTAGACCTTCTTGGTGTTGTCGCCGATGAGGTAGAGTGCCCCGTGCAGCGCGGCGCAGCGCGGCGAGGACAGGTACTTGGGCAGGAAGGGCGAGGCGATCACGCTCCACGCGTCTGTGGGATGTGAGCACCGGGGCCACCTTCACCGGGGTCGCCAGGGTGTGCTTGCCCCTTGGAGGGACCCAGGGCAAGGTGCCCTCTGAGCCTCAGTGAACTCGTCTGTACAATGGGAGTGAGCCCTCGGGGCTGGGAGCCGGGGCTGAGTGCACACACCCTGCCGCTCAGGGCCTCCCTCTGCCTCTGGGAGAAGAGGCGCAGCCCCCTCCTCACACAGCGGCACCACAGGGAGGGGCCCGTGGAGGGTGCGGGGGTCCCTCGGGAACCTCGCCCTCGGAAGGGGTTTTGGCCTGGTAGCCCCCCGCCCCCACAACTGGGGACAGCCCGGAACATCGGCGCCTCTGCCTCCTCCCTCCCCGCCTCTGCCCCAGGTCCGATAACCAGGTGGGCCCCTGGGGCCCCAAGCAGACCCAAGCCTAGTCGGTCTGTCTCGGGGTCCTCACTCCCCACTGCAGAACGGGCCCTGCCAGCATCTTCGCCGTCCAGGGTGTGGAACAGGATTCGAGACCAGGGCTGGGCGCCGCTGAGCTCGGAGAGGCGCGCAGTCCAAAGACTGAGCTGGGCCGCTGGCCTTGGAGGGCGGGGTCACTACTCCTGGCCGACGAGGCCATTCCAGGCGGACGAAGCAGCCAGGCAGCTTCCAGGACCTGGGCCTCCTCGTCACTGGGCCACTGGGCAGCCTGCACCGCAGCACGTCCCCCGGCTGTCGCACAGGTGCCAGGGCAGGACAGACGTGCAGCTTGCTGCTAGGCAGGGACCAGCCGTGACTGCGGAGACGACCCCTCGCCCTGACGCCTCAGGCCCTGCCTTCCTCCCCGTCCCTCCGCCTCTGACGGGCGGTGCCCCGTGTGGGCAGCCCGTGGCTGCCGGCCCACCTGTCCCTGGGAGCTGCCCGCCCTCACCTCGCTGGGGTGGACTGTAGCCTCTGAGGGGCCTGTGGTCACCTGTCCTTTGTCCCCTGGCGCCCCCCACGCGGTGGCCCGGCTCACCTATGACAGGGTTGTAGCACTGCAGGGCCAGAGCGTTGTACTTGCAGGCGCAGGAGCCCACCAGGTAGAGCCGGCCCCGGCAGCCGGCGGCGGCGAAGTTGCTGACGTACTTGAGGGCGGGGCTGACCGGCGTCCAGCTGTCCGTGTAGGGGTCGTAGCTCTCGACCTCCACCGCGTCCAGAGCGGTGCCTGCGGGGACACGGGAGGGCCTCCTGGAAACTCAGGGCCCAGGGCTTCATGAGGCAGCAGGGACCACCTGGCCAAGGGCCGGAGGGTACGGCCTCGGGCGTCGTCCCCATTTCACAGACAGGGACACCGAGGCTCTGGGGGACGAGGGAACCTGCCCAGGGCCACGGCGAGCAGAGGTGTGCGGATGGGCGCTTGGACCCGAGGATGCCCGCTGCAGAGTGCGAGATGGGCCTAATCTCGGGAAGGTGCTGCCCCCAGACGTCGCACAGGGTGGGTCGCTTCCCAGGGTGTTTTGAACCAGAACGGGGGGAGTCAGTCCCAGGAGGGGCGGGTGGCAAGATGTCAGCCCCTGGAGCTGCAGGCCGTCCCCCACCAGTGCCCGATAGAGTCTGGATGGTCAGTGATGGGGCCGTCACGGGGAGGGAGGTCACACCCTGCTCTCTGGGCCCTCGGCCTTGGTCTCTGTGACAACCGGGGAACTCAGAATGCTCTGGGCCGGGAATGGCGTGTGCTTTCTGCTCTCTGGCTGGGGACGGGGCAGCCACTGAGAGGACGGGGCCTGCCGACACCGCTGGGCACGAGGAGCGGCCTCCGGGCCAGTTTGTCGCCTGCAGAGCTTTGGGGCCACATGCATCTCGTTTTTTAATATTCCTCTAACCAGCAAGGTTCCTGGGGCGACTCCTTGCTGTAGTTCTGGGGTGCCGGGGGACAAGCAGCCGCATGCTCAGGCTGGGGGTCGGGGGAACAAAAGCAGCAGCAAAGGGGCCACCGTGGGCCCCTCATCACAGCGGCCGCCCCGTGAGCCCAAGCGGAGGGCTGAGCCACGGGCCTGGGACGGCTGCTCCCCACCCCCTGCAGCTCCCACCAGGCCTCCTTCTGGGGAGCGATGCGTCCTCCGGTGTCTCTGTCCCCAGGGTGCATCGGAAGCGCTGGCCATCGAGGACGCCCAGGCCTTGGGTCCTGAAGGCCCACCCGGCCGGGAGCCCTGGGGGCTCGCTCGACCCCCAGACAAGGAGCTGCCGAGGGCCGCCATGGGGAGATGCGCCTCTGTGGCCCCTCGGGCCAGTGTGGCCCTCCTTCCCGGGGCTGCAGGGGTGAGAGGCTGGGACCCGCCCCAGGGAGGGGCGGAGAGGGCAGCTCACCGCCGATGGCGTAGATCTCCCCGTTGAGCGCGGCGCTGGCGTGGTTGGTGCGCGCCTTCAGCATGGGCGCCACGGGCTTCCAGGTGGCCTCCTTCAGCGGGAAGCACCAGGCCTGGGTGGTTGACCAGGCGTCCGTCTCGGTGCCCCGAGAGCCACCTGCCAGAAGAGGTTGCGTCCACACGGGCACCAGCACGCTAGGTCTCCAGGCCAGTGGGGTGGGTGCCGACCTGCGGCCCCCTCCCTCCCGTGCCAGGCCGTGACCACGAACTCTGAGCCGGGGTGGGACCCCTGTGGGTGGCGCAGTCTAGCTGCGTGGCTTTGGGCAGCTGCCTCCTTCCCCCACAAACAAGGGGCACAAGATCGGCGGTTTCAAGCCCCCATCAGGGGAAGTTCTGCCCCCAACCAAATCTCGGATATAGAAGCACAGAGTGACCCCCCGCACCCCAACACGGTCCCTTCTGGGGAGGCCCTGGCTGCAGGAGCACAGCGGGGCGGGCCCTGGGCCCACGTCAGGCAGTGGACACGGAACGGCCTCCAGCACAAGTGGACCTGTGACTTTTACATTTCCTCGTTGTCACCTGTGTGGAAAGGTCTGGAAGAGCCCTGACTCAAGCGTCAGGGATCCCGCTGAGTGGGGGAGATTGGTTTTGGGTGGCTGCACTGTGCCAGCTGCCTGGCCGGGCATGGTGTCTCTGGAAGGGCCCCGACCTGCCCACCTGTGACATAGATGTCGTTGTTCAGGGCCGCCAGGGAGAAGCCCCACTTGTGGTAGTCGGGGAAGTCTGGGAGCGCCGTCCACTTCTCTGGCAGGAGAGGGCAGAGGGGTCAGGGTGTCTGGCTCCCTGCTGGGGCCCTCCCCGCCCGGCCCTCCCGGGGTGCCTCTTCCACGCACTTGCTGCAGAAACGTCCCCCTCGCTGTTGGGAAAGGGGGGGGCAGGGCCGGCCGGCTGCAGAGGTGGGGAGACAGCCAGTGGGCGGGGCCCGAGCAGGCCCTGGGTGCTTGGTCCCACTGTGGCCGCCAGCGCCCACACCGCCCCCAGAGCCCGGCACCCAGACTTGCACCCGGGGTGCCGAGAGGCCGAGCAGGCCTTGGGGACTGGGGTCTCACCCTGACCTTGCAGTTGGCCCATGAGACCCCAGATGGACCCTTCAGCCCCTGGGTCTGGTCCCCTCATCGGAGGGGGTGCAGTTTACGTGGGTGTCATAGTGGCTTAGAACACAAACGTCATTCCTTCACTCATTCCTCATGCATTCATTCATTCGTTCCTCCTGAGCACCCCGTGTGCCCCGTGGCAGCCAGGCGCCTATGGGGATCACACACAGGCCTTGCGGCAGGCACAGCAGAGTCCAACTCCTGGTTCTCGTGCACCGGCTGTGTGGCTTTGGACAAGCCCCAGCCTTAGTTTCCTCGTCTGTAGAATGGGGCTAATCCCCGGGCAGGTGTGGGGAATTGCAGAGATAATGTGTGTCTGGCAGGCAGTTACTCCTCCACGGGGTGGCTGTTAGGGTTAATGTCGCTGTTCTCGTGAGGGGCAGAGTCAGACCTGCCTCATGGAGCTACGTGGGGTACACGGAGGCAGGGATGAGAAAACGCTTTGCAAAAGTCAAAACGAGACAGTAAATGCGAAAGTCCTATACATGGACAGCTTTCGGGTATTTGCGGGAGACACCCAAGACTTGGGGGTGTCCCCCAGGAAGACGGTTTACCACAGTTTTCGGGACATGTGGAATTGCGGGCCTCCCTGGGAGCAGCGCCTGGCACTGTGGTCAGGGACTCAGTGTCCCATGACTCATGTCTCTGTCACCCCGGGGTGGGGACTGCCCAGCAGTCAGCAGGCCCTTCCTGCCAGAGTCCCCCACCCTGTGCCCCCCCGGCCGGGTCTGAGGGACAGCTGCTCCGTCCTGACGTCAGCCCCAAATCCCCTCTCGTCAGCCCCTGACGGGGACAGCCGGCCCTGGGCTTCCTGGAGCCCGCCAGCCTCTGACGCCATGGGGCCGGCTGGCGACTGCCGGTGCCCCAGGACACCCGCCGACCCTCTGTGAAGAGCTCCCGGAGGCCAGCACAGGCCGTGCAGAGCCCCTGCAGAGGCCCCCGCTCCTCCCTCCGTCCCGACGGCAGGCCCAGCCTCCGTGCTCACAGGGCCCCTCGCTGCACGGCCTTGCGGGGGGCTGCCAGGAGCCCCTTTCCCGGATGGGGAAACTGAGGCTCTGAGAGGTGAAGTGACTGCTCCAGGGCTGGACCTGGATCCCCGTCTGGCTTGACCCGGAACCTGAGCTCTGCCCCAGGCTGCCGCACCCCTCCAGCCCAGTCTCCCCTCGAGGCCTCAGTTCCCCCTTCAGGTGCGCAGGGCAGGCGGCACCAAGAGGCAGCCCTGGCCCGGCCCCCCACGCGGCGCAGCCTGGGCAGCAGAGCCCTTCACAGCAGCCTGGGGCCTGGAAGAGACCTCAGTGTGGGGAGAGGGAACTGCAGTGCCCGCAGTGCAGCACGGCCCCCGCCTGCCACCGTGGCCCCCAGGCCTCTCTGCGGCCCCCAGCGAGGCCCACCCAGGCCCCTCCTGCGCGGGCGGGTGGTGGACGTGGGCAGCGTCCCTGGGCTGACACCTGGGCGCGGGCAGGGTACTCACTGGCCTTGGTGTTGTAGAAGGTGAAGTTCCCGGGGCGGGGGGCGGGCTCCTCACCCGCCTCGTCCTCCTCCAGCGCCCGCCCGCCCACCACCACCAGAACCTCCTCCAGCTTCTGCGGGAGGGCCGGCCGCACCTGCGGGGAAGGCCGGGGTCAGAGCGGCAGGGCGGAGCCCCCTGCGCCCCAGGCCCACGAGTGTCCCTCTGTGCCGGCGCCCACACGTGGGCCGGGAGGGCCTCAGCACCTGTGAGCCCGTGCAGGTGTGCGTATGTGCGTGCACGTGTGCCGGCGTGCTGCTGTGGTGCGGACCGCCCAGAGCCCGTCCCCAGTGCCCCACAAAGGCCTCCGCTGCCCCTGGCCTGCCTGCAGCAGCCGCACTAGGGTGGCCTGGCCCGGCGGGAAACACGGGAACGCTGCTCGTGGAATGGTCGGTAAGTCACCACGGCCCAGGGCTCCCAGGATCCTAGGATCCCACAGCCGCCCTGGTCCCTCCTATGGGATGCCCGGGCCTCTCACCACCAGCAATGACAAGATGACCCCCGGCCAGCACCAGCAGGAGGCCAGGCCCTGTGACTGGCCGGTGCCAGGGCTGGATTCTGCCCACCACACACTCCACCCTCGGCCTGGGAACCACCAGCCTGAGTCACATCTTCGTCCCCAGACTTGGCTCCAAAGGAGCACCCTGGAGCAAGGCCTCTGAGCAGGCCGCCCGGCAGCTCACCGACCCGACAGCTCCTTGTCTCAGCAACACCCGGGCCTGTCACTTCCCCGGGACCTGCCCTGCCCGCCAGGCCTGCTGGCAGCACAAACAGGAAGTTGCAGCCCATAAATGTTTAAATGGCTTCCTCGGGGACAGGTGGTGGCGGGCTGCCATGCCTGTCTGTGCCTCCTTGCCTCCCCCGAGCTCCTATCCCTCCTCCAGGGCCCAGCTCAGATGCTGCCTCCTCCAGAGAGTCCTCCCTGACTGCCCGCCCCTCCGAGGATGCCCCCAGCACCCTGCGCAGGTGCCACCCAGCCCGGCCCTTCCACTCTGCCTAAGGTCTGTTTCCAGTTTGTCCTCCTGGGGCTGTGGGCTTTTCCAGGACAGGGTTCGAATGTTATCACTTCTGGGTTCCCCTCCCCTCACATCCAGGGTATGGCACACACAGGGCACGCTCTGTACTCGTGGGGTGAATGGTGACACCCTCGCAGGTAACTGGCCCAAGGCAGGGAGCATCGCAAGGTAAGGGGACCTTGGGACACCCACCGCGTACTCTCCCTCCCGAGGCCGGCGGGTCTGTGGGCTCTTCCGCCGGCTTCCCAGGGATGGGAGCCCCCGCCCGGCACTCACCCCACCGTGGCCCTGGGCCAGGGCCGCCCTGCATGCCTCCGACTCCCGGATCAGAGGCTCTGCGGCCAGCAGCTCCTGCACGCAGGGCCCGGGCATGGCGTCCAGGTGCACCAGGCCCAGCAGCTCGGGCAGGTGGGAGGCCCGGGCCGGCGGGTCATGGCGCACCCAGCGCAGCAGGGCCTCGAGCCGGCTCTGCTCTGGCTGCACCTGCAGCAGGTCGCTGGCCAGACAGGCGGCCAGCCGGTCTCGGGGCAGCTGCAGGAACTCGTCCTCGCGTGCCACGGCCTCAAAGTTCTCCCGCAGGAAGGCCCAGGCCTTGGCAGCCACGCCCAGCAGCCCCTGCTGCTCCCCAAACTCGCAGATGCCCAGGCAGTTGGCAGCGTCCAGCTGCTGCTGCAGGTAACGGCCGCAGACCTTCTGCACGGCGGGGAAGTGGAGGCGCGCGGCCGTGCGTGTCAGTGCCTCCACGTTGCTCTGGGTGACGGTCAGCCGGCCCGTGTACACGAAGTCCACCAGCTGCCCCACCACGGCCGGCTCCACGTCCCGCAGCTCCACGCGCGCGGAGAAGCTCTCTGCAAAGTTGCCCGTGAACATGGCGTGGAAGTAGGGGCTGCTCAGGGCCAGGAGGCTGCGGTGACAGGGCAGCTCCCGGCCACCCACCAGCAGCGTGACGTCGGCCAGCTTGGGCTGAGAGCGCAGCCGCTGCAGGCCTTCCAGCATGTCCTGGGCATGCGAGGGCAGGTGGAAGTCCAGGTCGTCCACATTCCGCACCATGGTGCCCGTGCCCGCGAGGGCCTTGGCAACGCACCCGCTGACGGGGAGCAAGCGCCTGGAGCCACCCGAGCACCTGGGGAGAGAACGGAGTGGGCTCTGGCGAGGGGCTGGTCTCAGCAGCCAGAGCGACCAACCGGTCCCACCGCCTGCCCGTTAGTCCTTTCCTTCCCGCAGCAGTTGCGGCCGGGTGAGCATGGACAGCTCGCGATTCCCTGTCCCCACCATCTCCCTTAAGCCCGGCATGTGGCCCTGTCAGGGAGGCGCTAGCGTCCTTCCCACTCGACGGTGAGGAAGCTGTGGCTCAGGGACAGGGAGACCTACCGCAGCCTGGCAATTAGGGCAGGACAGGGCCGGCAAGAGAGCTCTGGGCTCCGCAGAGCAGACCCCCAGCGCGTGGGGTCCCCCAGGCACCCGAACTCCCTAGAGGCGGCCTCTGTCCTGGATCCAATACTGCTGGGGGGGCCTTGGGGGCGTTTGAGAGGCTCCCTGCTTCACTGATCCTGTCTGCCGTGACCTTGCTGGGCGACCTTGGGCCAGCCACGTGCCTCTCTGGGCCTGTTTTCTCATCTGCTGATCGAGAGGCTGGCGGTAAAAGTGGCTCCAGGCACCATCCTCAGCGTGGCAGCTCTTACTCCCTCGGCGCCCCACGCGCCAGGCCGCGCCAAGCCTGGCCGTGCCTTAATCACGTAGCCTCACAACCGTCCTGGCAGGTGGGTGCAATCTTTGCCCCTTTTACAGTTGGGGAAACTGAGGCACATAAGGCTGGTGTCACATGCCCCAAATCGGATAGCTGGGAAGTGGTGGAGCTGGGGTTGAACTCAGAGCCAGGCTTGGGGGCCCAGGCTCTGAACCCCGCATGACACCTGGCCGGGTGCAGGGCACTAAATACAAACAGCCGAAGGCAGCTTTCTGGGGCTGATTTCACATGTCAGCGTTCCCGTCATCGACTCAGCAAATCCGCTTCTGGGATGACGTGAATATGCGCATGTTTATTTGTGTACTTCTGGCATTTGCGGTAAGACAACCAGGCCAAAGAAAGGTGAGGTCTGCACAAAGGTGCTCCTTCCCAGCCACTCCCGGCCGCCCGGGCTGCGGAGCAGAGACGCGGTTCTCCACTAGGGGGCGCCGCGCAGGGCCGTCCAGCGGCTCCGTGGGCAAGGGGACAAACGCCTGAGAAATCAGCGGGAGGAAACCACAGAGCTCCATGGAGAGAACCAGGGAACTGCAGACCGTGGGCAGCCGGACGCAGGTGCAGGGTGGGGGAGCTCGAGGCGCCTCCACTTCCCGGCCCGCTGGGGCCTGTCTCCATCCCACCCGAGAGCCGCTAGGGCCTCCCTGGACCGGCCGCCCGACGCCCCAGCACCCCTGGCCGAGCGTCCACCCTCCTGGCCCCTTAGGGAGGTGCTGCGGCCCAGGGAGGGGGGCTCCGCCCTCCCAGGGCGACGGGAGACGGCAGAGCCTGCGTGGGCGAGGGGGGCCGTCCCTGGGCCGCTGCCCACGGGCCTCGCATTCCGGTCATTGTTGTACGTCCTTGGCCAGCTGCTGCTGTGGCAGGTGCAGCCACCTTCCCCAGGGGCCCTGGGGGTGCCCACTGCCACCTGCTACCCTGCAGTCCCAGCATGGGGCGGGGGCGTCCAGAGGGTCTCAGAGCCTCACCCCAGTGCCTGCCCAGGCCCGGAGCCAGGAGACGTGAGCAGGCAGGACAGCGAGCGGCTGAGGCCTGGCTCTGGCTGGTATCTGGCTGCTGTGGCCCCGGCTGCAGTCCGAGGGGCATCTGGCCTCCCCCTGCCCCTCTCCAGCCTGGACACTGAGGGAACCGTGTCTGCTGATCCCCGAGCCTGGCTGGCCTGAGGGTGGGGGGTCTCCAAAGCTCTCTGCTGCGCCTGCCCCGGCCCCACCTCCCTGCCCGATGCACCCACTCCAGAGCCCCCAGTCCTACCTCTCAGTCGCCCTGGGACCCTGCTGCTGAGGACACAGCCCGAGAGCAGGGCTGCCCGCCGGCCGCGAGGGGGCTGGAGGGCCTGCTGGGCGGGGCTCGGCTGGTGGCCACGTGGGGACAAGAGGGTATTTTTAGCCTCTGTGCACATCGTTTGGGAGGGTCAGGCGGTGAGGGATGGACCGTGGGGCCAGGAGTGAGGTGCCAGCTCTGCAGACGGGCCCCACCCGCGCTGGCCCAGGACAGACCACAGGAAGGCTCCGGGGCCAGGACGCGCTTCGATCCTCCCCATGGTGTTGGGCTGAGCTGGGGGTGGGGGTGCAGCTGCCCCACCAGTTTCCTCATCTGCAAGATGGGGCAGTGGGGCCTAAGCGGGGGACCCACAGGTCTCGGGGAGCCCCGGCTCAGGGCCTGGACACAGGCAGGTGACACTCTCACTGTGGGTCTTGGTGCCTGTGTGGCCTCTTGTTCCTCTGTCAAGTGGGAATTGTGAACCAATGCAGGTTGGTCAGCAAAGTCTTTCAGAGCTCGGGGTCTGTGGCGACCGTAGGGAAGACTTTGGTGGTCAAAGGGAGTGCCCAGAGATGTGAGCAGCCATGCTCAGGTGCCCCCCAGCCACGGCAGGGCCAGGAGATCCCGGGGCCCCTTCCCGAGCCACATGTTCATCTTGGAAAACAGAGAAATACAAAGCAGGAAAGTCCACCCGTAAAAGACAACTGCCATCAACGTGCTGGCGTCTTCCCTTCCAGCCGTCGACGAGTCGCAACACTGGGGTCGCTGCATTTGTGGGTGTGTGTGCTCTTCCGTCACGCGAGCACGGGCACTTCTGACACGATCGGTGTTTGGAATGTGGCTGTACGTTTTGTCCCAGCGGGGACTATCTCCCTTCGCAAGCTGCGAGTGGTGTCCAGTCACTTCTACTGACGGACATTCGGGTTGTTCCCATCTGGGACTGGTGTGACGACGACGGCATCGCGTCTGTGGTTATTGCCCAGAAGAGAATCTGAGTTGAAACCACCCATTTAAAGTGTGCGAGCATCTTTCAGACTTAACGCACTTACCAGAGGGGCTCCGGCTGGGATGAGTGTGTGCACCTCCCGCCACCCGAGGTGTGACCGTCCCCGCCGCTGGCCCTGGCACGGGATGCCCCCGACTGCCCCCTTCCTCCCCTGGGCTTCCACGGCTTTCCTTGCACACAGCAGCTCTTACTCCAGCTGGGAGTTATCTGGGGCATGGGGTCCCATGAGCTCATCCTTTGCTTCTTTCGGAAAAGCTCACCCAGGCTGTCAGCTCTATTGCCCACAGCCTCCCCTCCCGGGGACCTGCCGCAGCAACTTCATCTCGGTAGTGCTTTCCGTGTGCGAAGACTTGGCCTCTCTGTTCCAGCTCGAGTGACTGTTCTGGGGTCAGGACACCGCGTGTGGTGGGTCGCTGCTCTGCAGTTCTACCTCGTGTCTGAAAGGTAAGCCTCTCTTCGTTACTCTCCTATCTACGTTTGTCTTGTCTGCTGTATGCGTCCTCTCTTGCTGCGTAACAAACCGCCCCGAATCTAGTGTCTTAGAACACCCACGCTCACTACCTCGCCGTTTCACACTGCGGAGCGCGTGCGTGGGGCGGTCGACCCAAGTGCAGTCGCCTGGAGGCTGGCCTGGGCCGGGTCCTCCACTTCCCCGTGCGGCGTCTCTGTGAGGCTGTGAGGCTGCCCCGGACGTGAGATGAGGAGAGCGACAGAGATGGAGCCACGGTGTGTGTCACAGCCCGTGTGACATTCGCAGCTTCTGCTGTGTCCCGTGGTACTGTGTGTGTGTGTGTGTGTGTGTGTGTGTGTGTGTGCGCGCGCGTGCGTGTGCGAACGTGTGTCAGAGATATATACCGTGTCTCCCAGCAGGCAGGGTCACTGGGGTCCTTCTTGCAGCCTGGCCGCCGCAGTGGGCTTTGTTCCCTTTTTCTTTCCAAAGAACTTTAGAGACATTAAAAAGAAAAAGGGGCTGGGTTTTGCACTAACCCTGCACGTTGATGTGCAGAGAGCTCACACCTTTACGAATTTATTCCAGTCACGAGGACGAAAGTGGTGGACAAAGGTTCTTTGCTGCCTTCGCTACCGTGTCCTGCTTCTCTGCGTCCTCGTCCCGCACACAAGGGCTGGGGAGATGGCCCCCCCGCCCAGTGTGGTTTGGCTCATCGGGAAGCCCTTGGGTTTCACACCTGTGTCTCGGGTCTGGCCACCTGGCTGACATCTGCAGCCCCCGGGGTGCACACGTTGGGGCTCCGGAGTCCTCAGTTGGATTTTTGCCAACTGGACAACAGATTTCTAGGCACCAAATAGGCCTTGCAGCTGCGAGTGTGCCCTGCCAGGGCCAGCCCCTGCCTGCTCCGAGGACACAGGTGAGCTGCCAGGCCAGGGTTCCCAGCCCCACCCTGGCCTACTCCCCCTAGAGGCAGGGTGTCTGCAGGAGGTCACTTGGGGGTCAGCCCTGAGCACCCCAGCAGAGATGTCCCCTCCCTCCTCTGGCCACAAACCTGGATTTGAGCCCCCGCCTCACCCCTCACTGGGCAGCCCACCCAGGTCCTCCAGGAACCCTAAGGTTTGTGGGGTGCCCCTCTTGGCCTCGATCCTGCCCCTCAGCTGGGAAACCAAGGCCCAGATGCCACGGAGGGACTTGCCTGAGGCCACGGTGAGTGGGCAGGGGTGCCCTGAGCCAGGAGTGCCCTGAGCACTCGGCCAGGAAGTGACCTGGAGGGCTCAGTGCGTGCCACACCCCCCTCCTTAGGCCCTTAGAGCTGACCGTCAGCAAGGGGTACACAAGGGACGGGAGACACCGGAGTGCCCAACCTCCTGACCACCCAGCCAGGGCCCAGCCCAGACCCTCCCTCCGCCCTTGCCTCCTGCCAGCCGGCGCAGGGCAGCGCCCGGCGGAGCAGCCCTCTCTGTCTCTGCTGGTGGCGTGTTGGATCCAAGAGCCAGGGCCCCGCTGCCCGAGAGACAGCGTCCTGGTGCTCCCAGCTGCCAGCGGCGCCCTGCTCCTTAGACATACTCGGGCTGCTGTGCGTCAGAGACAAGGGTGACGCCCAGGACAGAGGCTCTCCCACCCAGGCCCTCAGTCCACCCTCACCAGGACCCGGGAGTGGGCAGGGCAGGGCAGCACGCGGCAGGGGACGGGAGGCTTTGGCCTGGCGCCGCGGCAGAACTGGGTGAGGACTCGGCCTCTGTGGGCACAGGCGCTGCCCAGGGGCAGGGGCAGGGTGAGCGGCCAGGACTGGGGAGCTCTATTTAGCAACCTCGTGTGCACGGCCGGCTCTACGAGAGGGTCTTCGGCAGGGGAGGAAGCCGGGGAGCCCTCCTGGAGCTGGGTGGGCGCTGCTTCCCTCCAACTCAGCCAACCGAGGGCGCGTCCCGAGTGCCGTGCGAGAGGGCTCTGAGGCGAGTCCTTGTTCCGAGGAGACGCACGTGGGAGAGGGACCACGTAACGCGGGCAACGGGCAGGGCGGGAGGGTGAGCAGGCCGTCCACCAGGCTTGCCCGGCTTACCGGCTGCAGGGCGTTAGCAGGCGAGAGGAAAGAGAAAACCCAACACACCCCCAACCCACTCTGGGGACAGGTCACTCTCCAAAGTTGAACATCTCGGCTTCTTTCTCCTTCCAGAAGGCGAAGCTTCGGTCGATGTAGCCGCAGATGTCCTTGCTGTTGAAACTGCCCTGCTGGGAGCCGCCCCCCAGCCGCCGCGCTGTGGGCCTGGGGCCGCTGCTGGGGACGCTGGTGTGTGGCAGGGGTCCGAGCGGGGTCAGGCCTGACTTGCGGCCAGGCTCCGTGTCCCAGGTGGGACTCTGGCTGGAGCCAAAGAAGCGGGCCTTGATGTCCTCAAAGCCGTCAGTCCAGGCACGGCGGCCGGCGGCCACCTCGTCGGTCACGGCCTTGTGGAAGGCGCGCACGGCCTCCCAGCCGTGGGCGCCCAGGTGCTCAAAGACCTCGAAGCAGAGCAGGTGGCGCATCTTTCGCTCCTCGGCCGGCAGGTCGCACTCCAGGAGCTGGAAGTAGCCCAGCATGAAGAGGTCCAGCGAGAGGCTGCTGTAGGGCACAGGGGCCCCGGCCACATGGGGCAGGAACTGCTCTGGGGACAGGGGCCCTTGGGGCCGCCGGCTCAGCCGCTGCAGCTGGCGGGCCGGCACGTGAGCCATGATGGTCTTCCAGTGGCCCAGCAGGTGAGAGATGATGCTGCGCTGCTGCCACAGGTGGCTGAGCTGGCGACCGTCGCCAGGGGGCAGGGAGGACAGCCTGGGGCTCCTGGCTGCCCCCTGCGCCCGTGGCCCCGCACGGCGGGCTTCTAGGGTCCTGCAGGCTGCCGCCTTGAGGGCCGGTGTGCAGGCTGACTTCTTCCAGTGGCTGAGGAAGAGCATGACGATGCGCTCCTTGCGCAGGGTGGCTGGGTCCCGGCCGGGCGCGGGGCCGGCCTCTGACGGGGGCTCCTCACAGCTGATGCCCGAGTCACTGGCCTCCTCTGCATCGCCCGGCCCAGACCCCCCTCCAGTCGGGCTGCTGCAGGGCTTCGGGGGGGCTGGCCAGCAGCCGCTCAGGCACTGCCCGGGCCGGGTCCCCAGCTTGCAGGGGCTGAGGCTGGAGCCGCAAGGCAGGTTGGGGGCCGCCTCAAAGTTGCCCCGCAGTGTCCGCACAGACACCCCCCACTCCTGGATCTCACGCTGGGCCTCACTCCGAGGGGGGCTGGCCAGGGCCTCCCTGCAGGCGTGCGGGGCCCGAGAGGCCGGCTTCTCCTCTGCCTGCACCAGCCCGTTCATGCCCTTCAGCAGCAGCGACATGCTGCGCACCAGGCGGGCAATGTGGCTGCACCAGAAGGGCAGGGGCTGCCCGCCGGGTGCCACCTCCGAGGCCTCTGCAGAGCCTGTGGGCTCAGCCTTTGGGGCCGTGGCCTCCTCAGCCTCCAGCCCGGGCGCCCGGGGCAGGAAGTGGCTGTTGACGGTGATGCTGACCAGGGGCTCGGGCAGCAGGGCCTGCAGCTCGGCCGCCAGCCGGCCCAGCTCACTCTCGTACTCCTGGCAGCGGCGCCGCAGCTGCAGGTCTGCAATCTGCTTCTCCAGGTACACCAGGTCGTCCTCGGTCAGCAGCTCCCCGAAGGGCCCCAGGATGGCCTGGTGGGTCTGCGAGTACCGCCAGGCCACCTGCTCCACGGGGCCGGAGCCCCAGCCGCCGCCCTGGGCACAGGAAGGCAAGGTCAGCAGGGCCTGGGCCACAGCACGTGGAGACGGGGAGAGCGCGTGCTCCTGCCGACACAGCTCCCCGGGCGTGGCTGGCCAGCCCCAGTCCAGAGTTTGAGACACGAGGGGTTGGGGGCAGTTTTCCCCTCAAAGAGGTGGAGGTGCCGCTGCTCTGCCCCCTCCACACGGCTCCCTAATCCCCCGTATCTGCTCCGTGTTTCATCATCAGGGCCGCCCAGCTCCTTCCTGCCAGACCCGGAGCCTTCTGTGGTTGGACGGCAGCCCTGGAGCCGGGCACCCTCTGCCACCATGTGATGCATGCCCACCCTGCCAGCACCTTACCCTGCCGCAAGAAAAGCACCTGCTGTCCTGGGCAGTGTCCAGCCCACAAGGGACACACGGGGCCCCCAGGCTTTTGCCAGGCTGTGACTGAGCCGAGAGCCCTGAGCTGCTCAGCCTGCCCGTGCTCCAGGTCCCTGAGGTCTCAGCACCTCTGCAGGCTCAAAGGGGCTTCCCAGCTGGGGCAGAGGCCCCTGAGCTGCCCCCCACCCCCAGCTTTGCCCTTGAGCCCGTGGGCTTCCGGCCCTGACAAGCTAGGATGTGCTGGGCCATCAGATGGGGGCCGTCCTTGGTTCCATGAGGATGGAGACACGCGCTGTATCATGCAGCAGCTGTGAGCCACCTGTGGCTGCAGACACGAAATGTGGCTGGTGCAGCTGAGGGGCAGGACTTTCACTTTGAATGAATTTGAATTAATTTACGTAGCTGCGCATGGCTGGTATTATCGTACTACACAGTGCAGCTCTAGACCAGGGGCTGCATAACACGCTGTTTGGACAAAATCCTCTAAGGGTGAGATTCTAGCACTACGGACTGACCACACAGCGGTGAAAATCCAAGTCAAATCACGGCCCTTCTCTGCTCAGATTCCCAGGGCCCCCCAAGGCCTTACAGAGGTCCGGTAATTTCAGCCAGTTTCCTCTTCGACCTCGCCTCCGCCCGCCACCACTCCGCTCCCTCACTCCCTCCCACCGGGAACCGGCATCGCCTGCTCTCTCAGGCGGCCCCTGTGCCCTGGGACCTTTGCCCTTGCTGCTCCCGCTGCCTGCACTGTGTTGCCCCAGATTCCCACAGGGCTCCGTCCTCCCTTCCTTCTGGCCCTGCCCAGGTCACCCTCCCCAAGAGGGTGCTCCTGAGCTCCCCCGACACAGCTCTGGGCACCCTGGCCCCTGGCCCTGAGCTCCTGCTGGAGTCTGAGCCCCAGGAGGGCAGAGCCTGCCTTTTGCTGCCTAGAACAGTGTCTGGCACAAAGTTGGTGCGAGATTAAAGCCATTAGACGGAAGAGTCCATGGGACCCACCCACTAAAGCAGATGACAGGGCACAGCACAGGGTCCTCTGACCTGGCTCAACCTCCTCTTCTGGCAGAAGCAGCCGAGGCCACGGGGGAGTGTGGCATCTGGTCTCGGGTCCCAGGTCCAGGCTCCGGGCGCCCCACCTCCCACTTCCACCTGCCCGGACCAGGCCTCCCGCCCCGGCCCCCCACCTCCCTCCCCTACCTGGGCCTCAGGAGCCTGGTCTGCGCCCAGGCGCGCCTGCAGCTTCCGCACCATCACCTGCCGCTTCCACTCGGGGATGGGCCGGCCGCACTCATCCCGCGTGGGCACTAGCCCGTCGAGGTCGCCTGAGGGCAGCCCGTCCAGCTGCAGCGTGGCCAGGCCATCTGGGGTGTCCCCCGCCACAGCCATCTCTGCATCCTGTGCAGATGGAGGTGTGTCACACAGGCCCGGAGGGGACCCAGGCCCCTAGTGGAGGGGGATCCACAGGGGAGGGGGGTTGGCTCTGCCCAGGCTGCACACACAGGGCGTCCTAAGAGGAGGGTGGTGGGGGCCACAGTCAGCACTCTGCCCCCTCAGCCCCCAAAGTATGAGGCCCTCAAGGGCAAGGGCCATGGTGTCCCCTGTGGGGCCCAGGTGTGTGGTGGATTGCTGGCTGAGAGACAACCAGAGATTCCTCCCCTCCCCTGCATACGGTCTGGAAGAGGTTGCCCAGAGCATGCCATGTCCATGGGCAAACTTGCTCTCAGAACAGCTACATAGACAAAGTCTGTGCTGCAGGACTTGTCAGAGCCTTTAATGATCTGTGTGCACCCCAACTCTCCAGGAGGGACAGTGCCATGTGGCATTTCCCAGACTCACACAGACCACCTCAGGGGCTGGGAATTCTCAGGACCTATTCAGGGAAAGACTGGGCTGGAGTCCCAGCACCTGGTGCCGGAAGGGGAGGGGAAAGCGGGGAGGCCTCTTGCAGCCAGTCCTGGGCTGGCTGGGGGCCACTCAGGAGGTGGGCAGTGGGCTTCAGGCCCAGCTTCCCCGTGGGCGGCTGCTGCTCTGTGCGGTGATGGCGGCTACACGGGGGCAGGGAGTATCCGTGCGCTCAGAGGCCGGGGGGAGGGGCTTGGGCTGCAGCGGCTTTATGGGATGGCAGAGAAGGGGCCCACACTTTCTATGAGGGGGTGACAGCTGCTGCTGCCTGAAATTCCCGTCTGCTCAGAACCCAGGGGCCCTCGGGAGCCAGCCAGAGCTGCCCGGGCAGCAAGCCTGGTGTCCCCCTGTGGAGGAGGCCCGGTTGTGCTGGAGGGGCCTCCCTGGGCCCCCAAGAGGGCGCAGTGGGAGGCTGCTCAGGGGCCTTGGGGATGGGGATGGAGGGGTGGGAGGCGCACCGTGGGGGCCGCTGTGGCTCTGGTGGAGATGCCCGGGGGCGTGGTGCAGGTCATCTGCTCCCTCGGTGGCGGCTGGTCGGGCCGCCCGGGCCAGGTGGGGCTGAGAGTCGTGGCTGCTGAGAGGAGGGCAGCTGGGGCAGGGCTGGGACGACCAGACCACAGCCTCGGGGACCCCGGCCTGGGGACAGAACCTGCCTCCTGAAGGGCACAGATGGGCGCTACCCCCAGCCTGGCGGCAGCCTGCCCTGAGAACCCACTGGACCTGCTGTGCGGTGTCCACAGGGCCCGCCCAGCCTGGCTCATCGGGGTCCTGCCACGTGCCGAACCCGCGCCACAGCCCCTCCTGCAGCCTCGGGCCAGCGCGGAGCGCAGGACGCCCAGGCGCCCCAGGACCCCGCTCAGCCCCGCTGGGCCCCAAGCTTGTCCTCGTACGCCCCCTTGCAAACACACCCCAGTGCCTGCGTGAGGCACACGCCGCATCACAGCCCAGGCACGCACACACAGACACACACACAGACACACACACATATAAATAGAAACACAGATACACACAGACACACATAGACATGCACAGATAGGCACACATAGACACACACACAGATACACACAGACACACACAGACAGGCACACACACACATACACACAGACACACAGACACACACAGATATACACAGAGACACACACACACAGACACATACAGACACATACACACAGACACACAGACACCCGCACACCAATACACATATACACACAGACACCTACACACGTAGGCACTCACAGACACATACAGACCCAGATACACAGGCACCCACAGACAGGTACACATAGACACACACACAGAGACACACGAAGACACACAGAGACACACACAGACACGCAAAGACAGGCACACACACAGACACACAGACATGCACAGACAGGCACACATAGACACACAGATATACACAGAGACACAAAGAGACACACATACACACACAGACACATACACAGACACCCGTACACCAATACACATATACACAGAGACACATATAGACACACACACATACATAGACACACATAGAGACACACACACAGACACCTGCACACCAATACACATATAAATACACAGACACACACACAGGCACCCAAAGACACATATACACACACACACACATACACATAGACACACAGACACACACAGAGACACACAGACATGCACAGATAGGCACACATAGACACACACACAGATACACCCAGACACACAGATACACACAGACACCCACAGACAGGCACACATAGACACACACACAGATACACACAGAGACAACACAGACACACACACACACAGACACGTACAGACACATAGACACACACACACACACACCTAGACACCCGCACACCAATATACATATACACACACATATAGACACACACAGGCACTCACAGACACATACAGACACAGATACAGACACACAGGCACACATAGACACACACACAGATACACACAGACACACACAGACAGGCACACACACACATACACATAGACACACAGATACACATAGACATGCACAGATAGGCACACATAGACACACACAGACACACACAGAGACACACAGACATGCACAGATAGGCACACATAGACACACACAGATACACACAGACACACAGATACACACACACACCCACACACAGACACCCACAGACAGGCACACATAGACACACACACAGATACACACAGAGACAACACAGACACACACACACACACAGACACGTACAGACACATAGACACCCGCACACCAATACACATATACACACAGACACACATAGATATACAGAGAGACACACACAGACACACAGACACAGAGACACATAGACACATACACACAGACACACACATAGACACACACACAGACACACAGACACCAATACACATATACACACAGACACACACACACATAGGCACTCACAGACACATACAGACCCAGATACACAGGCACCCACAGACAGGTACACATAGACACACACACAGAGACACACGAAGACACACAGAG